CCTTTCTTTAACCCGCCGGGTTCCTCCCGTAAAGATATGTTTATTTTTGGCCTTCAGAGGGTCAGATGACCAGTCGCCTGCCTGCCATTGTGTCTCCTCCTACGGTGTGTGTTGGGTTGCTCCGCTTTTCCGTTGCATCTTTATTAAGATGTCTTCACTGCGTCTATGCCTCTGCCGTAGAATACTCAGCCCTGGGGTCCGGGGATGGCTCAGGCGACAGCCACTGGGTTTTCCCTGCGTAAAGGTCTTGATGTGATCAAGATTGACAGAGACAAGCGTCAGCAAGGTGCCCTGTTTGACCAAGTCAAAGGAGAGGGGGTGGTTTTGGTTCTTGTTCCTAATTCCTTTAAAAATAGGGGGATAGTATTTTAGAATTTTATGCAGAATTTAATTCTCTTTTTATGGTTAAGATGTTGAGATTTTTCTTACTTGCACATAAAAATAATTTGGGTTCTTAAACTTAATTTCTGGCCTGTGACTAGAATGTTAAAAAAAAAAAAAAAACCCCACAAAAAAAAAAAAAACACAACAGTTGGACTAAATGTTAATTACTGAAACATTAACTTAATTTCTAAAACCATGGTGCTATCATTTATTAATCTGTAACGTCTTCATACAAAATGCAGCTCCTGGGCTGAGTTTTGGGGGGGAAAAAACAATGTGTTCTGTCCTGGTCTGGAGTCCGTTGCTGCAGTCTCCTTGGTTAGTTAAGACAGAGCCCTCATTAACGTTTGCTGCAGGACTTAAAATTTTTTACCTCCCAGCTAACACACATAGCCTCACATTAAATTTAATGGGTCTGTAAAGCCCTTTTTAAAGGGGGTTTTGGAAAACTCAATCAAACTGATTGGAGGAGCGGTTTGGGTACATGCTGCCTTTGTTGAGCTTTTTTTTTTTTTTTCTCTCAGTCTGACTGAGGCTAATTTTGCAACATCAGTAACACTTCAGAGTAAAAGAGGAAAAATATTTAACATGTTTTAATTTTTTTCATTTCTTGCTCAAAAAAAAAAAAAGGAAGTTTGTATTGGGGGGGACTGATTTGATTTGACAGAATTTTTTTCCCCTTTGGTTCTCTTATTTCTAGGTTGGAACCAATACAGTTTAAAACTAAAGAATGGGTTAATAAGCTTCAAACAGATAACTGCAACTGAAACCTGCACATTAAGTACAAAAAAAAAAAAAAAAAAAAAAAAAAAAAAAAAAAAAAAAATCCTTTT